ACTCTTTCTGCATGGTAATATCATTTAAACAAATTTTAAAGAAAAAAGCCTTAATTTTTTTACCTTAAGCTCCGTCTCATCACCTTTTTTCTTTTGTATGCGTTCTTTTACATCCATCAAACGCGCCTGGCAAGACTGCTTTTTCTTCTTGAATTCCTCCTTTTCACGCTCCATCTCGGCCATGCGTTCGACGCGAGCCTGATGACGCCAACGGAACAGCGAAGGAGTGTCGATGTTGGGATGTGTGTCATCCTCGTCATCTGAAATCTAGCCAAGATGTGCAACATTATCTACCAATCCGTAAGCGTTGGACGCCTATAAAAGGTTTTTCTTAACTTACTTCAATATTCTTCCATTTGCTGTAGTCTACCATCGTTTGTTCGCCCTTGCTCTGTTATTTAAATATATCAGTTTTTGATCTTGTACGTGGAATTTTTCACGAAAATCTTTAGTTTTTTATCTTCCAATAAACCGCTGCTTTTTTGCTAGAATTTTCTTTTGACGTTTTAAGCTAAAATTTTGAAAATGAGTTGAAAACAGAAGAACCGATGACGTTTGAAATAAGTGGATTTTTGGATATAAAAATACAGGGTCATGATACAGGGCTACATAAAGGTACAGGGTGAATTTGATGCAGGGTGCACATGATGATTTATTTTTTGGGAATTCCGTCATTCGAACATTTCGTTTGATAATGCATTTCCGGAAGTTTTTTTTGCAGTTTGCTTTTAATCAGGTTTTAAATATTTAACTTTCCAGATTAATTGGAAGCTTTTTCCATCTGAAGCTCACTGAATTAGCATGCAACTGTAAAATTATGATTTAGATAGAGGGCCTCGCCAAATGCTTTTAGATAAAGGTTTTGGATTTATGTATATTTTTTCCTCTTTTGGTAAGAAAATTACTACACTAACAAGGCAAAGATAGTTGAAAGAAAGTTTGATAGATTTTGTTTATTCTAGATTTAAGTTAATAATAAATAAAGACAGCAATGCCAAGGTGAAAGCTTTTTTGATAGAAAGCAGAGCAGTCTCCGGGCAGAGGATTTTTTTAAATATTGTGTTTTATAATTAAAATTTTGATGTAATTGTTTTAAAAAAAGAAAAGAAAAATAAATAATTTTTTAATTAATTTTTTTTAGTCTCTTTTTTTAAATTTAATGTTTCTTTAATTTTTGGATTTTGTGATTTTATAAAGAAAAATATATTTTTATTATTTTTCTTTACCTTTTTAATGACATACATACATATATATATTTTGCCTTCTTTTAATTGATTTTTTTAGTTTTTGGATTATATTATTTAAGAAAGAAAAATACATATATTTATTTTAAATATTTAGGAACTTACATTTTTCACTTTTTATTTTTTTCGTTTTAATTTAGTATGATTTTAATTTTTATTTTTTGAAAAACGTAATTTGGTTAATGTCCTTTAATTTTAAGAAACTTATTTTTTTAAATTTTACTTGCATTTTTTTTTTTCTTTTTTAATGTAATTTCTTTAATTTTTATTGTTTTAAAAAGAAAAAAACATATTTTTTTTTATTTCATTTAATTTTTAGACTACTTATTGCTAAAAGACAAACAGAATTGGCAATTGTCCTACGAAAGACTGCAGTGAGTTGAAATGTAAAATGTCGTTCCCTCAGTGATCATTCTTCGACTTAAGGTTCTCATAACCGAAAATTCAAAAATTGCCACAGTTCGGTTCGGCTTGGACTTCTAAAAGTGAAGCTCGGTTATTCTATACAAGTTTAAATTATAAAAGCCAATATTAAAATATGAGGATAATAGTAATTGGAGTTTCTAAGATTATCGAATCGAAATAAAATATATTACATACATATATTAGGGCGGCTGAATTTTTTTTTGGACTATGACATGGAACTTAAATCAAGTTGGAGTTTGCCAAATTGCGAAAATAGATTTGAAAGTTTTAAGAAAAAGATATGTAAGTGCAGAAATGGATTTCTGATATCAGAAACCCCTTACAGCATGTCTTTATACAAAATTATGATACTTCTTTACGACAGTACAACAAAATCCTAAGGAACCTATTTTCGTAATTTGGTCAACTCCAAGTTGATTTTAGGCTCATGGTATCTTCGGTGAATTCGCTTAGAATTACACGTAGAATCCTTCTGTGCTATAGTCGAAAAAATCTG